ATTACCAGCACTTTGGTGACAGATGTAGAGATAGGATTATGATAAAAAAACTGGATCTGGATGATGTGGAATGGATTCAAGTCGCTAAGGATAGGGGCCACTGGTGGGGGGAGTCTCTTAGGAACACGGTAACGATCTTTAGGAGTCCAAAAAAAGCAGTATAATGTATTTATCAACAGCGAAAATTTCAGCTTCTCAATAACTAAGCTGCTTTATTTAGTTCGTTATTGAGCGCATTATAACAGTTTCCTATGCATCCCTCAAAAACTAATAATTTACTATTCTTCAATGTAGTCCCGCCACACGTTTCCATCCTAGTATCCGACTAACAGTTGCATCCATTTTACGTCTCCCCGTTCACGCCACATGCCCTGACTGCCTCAACCTTGACGTAATCATCCTAACAATAAAGGCAAATAATATGCCTGCAAATTACTTGGTAGTAGATCTTCCGGTTACTTCCGCTTTCACATGATTCATTTAAAAAGTGATTCAAATGCTGATAATAAATGAATGGACATATTACGACTTCCATAATGCCCTCCTTCTCACACACAAAAAACACTTGAATGAATCAGTCGGGGTTCTGTAGCAGAGTTCGATGACGGAGTGGAATATCGCTCGTGACCGAGATCTTTGATGTGAGTATACTTGACTTTATAATGGGCTTGTAAAACACGGCTTTGCGCAATCAGTGTTTGAAGAGAACTGTCGGTAGATCAGACCACCGCCGTCAGAAAACTCCACTACACTTAGGTGAGTGACATCTTCATACAAGCTGAGGTTGCCTCTGTGGGAAGTAGCGTTTTATCTGTACAGACAGAATTAAAATACGTCGCCAGGCATTGCTGATCTTGTCAACGGTTCGTCAGTGTAGTAAGTGCACTCTGCAAATATTTCCATAGACACCATCAAGTTCTTTCGTCTTCCGGTAACAGGAATGGAACTAATGAGCTTCATGAGTGTATTCTTCACCAAGCATTGTTAAGGTGACTGGACCAATAAGGGTGAGACACGCATCCATGAGACGACAGATTACTGCAAGATTTTAGTAGGCAAACCTGAAGAGAAAATATTAGTTGGGAGAACTAAGTACAGAAGGGAGGGTAATATTAAAGTAGATCTGAAAAACAGGGCTGGCTTTAACTGACCAAGGATTGAATCCAGTGGATGGATCGTGTGAACAGGTAGTAATGAAAACCCGGGTTCCCCGGAAGGTAGGTGGACTTTACTCATGTACAAGGCTATGTATTTTCGAACCTCATATTTCGACCGCCCTATTGTGTGTTAACATCTTACTAATACAGCAGACCAATTTGTTTAAAATGATAACATTACCTTAAATCTGTATATAAAATATACCAATACAACAATACAAAAACAACTATCAGAAGGAACAGCTCCAAAGTTTCAAGAACTATACTAAACTCCGACACTTGAAGCTGTTCTGTCACCATAAACCAAAGAGCAGATGACACTAGACAGCCAACAACTAACATGAGTTTATCCGTAACTGCAACAGACCAGAAGCCTAATCCGTGGTGTTTATAGAAAAAACCCTTGAAATTTATAGATTAGCTCAGCATCTTAAGTAAAATCTCTTTTACTGTGATAAAACAATTTTCACGTCTGCTATTGTTATGCTATTTCGTTGTCATGTGTGCAACAGCGCAAAATTTCGTCGGTAGTGAGCCAGTAGTCGGCCTTACATCATTATATGTACCTTTTAATGATGTCGTCGACATAATCGCTCTCATACCATCTTCTGGAATCATTATCCGAAGATGGAGACAGTATATTTCTCCGAAATGTTAGTACACAACCAAAAGACCTGAAATCCAACAAGGATTCTTATATTCGTCAGCAAACCCAGATCGGCACCTGGAATTTACTCAGGATACCACAAATATTTTCCTGGGGCGAAACGACAGAATCGTGAAGATGACCATTCACCTGCCAACTATTTCAGAGATTAGTAATGTTTCTGAGTTAGCTACCATACGTTTTCGTGGAGTCGTGTCATTTGTAAACCAAAATTACGCTAAAAATTATGCCAGTTTATGTATCAGTTCAGTTTAATGGTTGCCGCGACCAAGACGTCTATGGCACTCTGCAGCAAACTAATCACACAAAATTTGTAACGCATATTTAATGTGTCATTAGTACTGAAAAAAATGGACTAAACCTTATCATCAAATCTGAGTGTTTCGGATCTAGAATTGTGATTCAGTGCTGCCTGAATGCATATTTTCAAAGTATATAATAAAAGTGTCATCAATGATGGCATCAGACATTGTAATCACAGGCTTGCGAGATCAGATGCGGAAATTCCTTCAAGGTCGGTCACGTTTAATGTCATGTATTAGGAAGTTGATGAGAGGCTCGTCGACACAACAAAATAAACAACAGTGGAAAAACTATGCATGTGCAGTACTGCGTAATTCTTAACCACATGCTTCGACAGAGAAGCAGTTTTCATCTACACAAACGCGTATTAGGTTACGGTTATCAACGACGACTCTGAAAAGAGGGAATCTCCGAGTGAATAAGTTTGTAAAAAGTTAAGTAATGAAATAAGTTATAAAAATATACGACACGATGAAAAATAAGGAATTAATTCGAAAATACGTCTATTTATCTCATGCAAATCTAACATTACTTGAAGATTTCCGTCTTCTAGGTTGTTGCGCTGTGTAATCTGGTCGATGTTAACCAACATTTCAGAGGTCATACTGCCACCGTCATCAGGGCGATGAATCGCCCTGATGCTAAGGACAAAATATTTCCGTATCAGTTACAAGAATTTAAACAGTCGGATAGTTTTATCACCTATTTCTAATTGAAAGTCACAATAATACAGCTAACTACAGAATAACAGAAACATGATATTATACATTTTTCAGATGCACGCAAATTGCGAAATTTCTTTCGGCTCACATTAAAATTGAATTAATTCACCATAGATATTTCGGAGAGCCACGGTGGTCTAGCGGTTAGAACGCTAGCCTTGTAATCCTGGGGTCTCGGGTTCGATCCCGGCGGTTGGGCAAGGCCGTGGTCTAGGCAACACGGAGTTTTCCTCGGGGGCTTCTTCCCCGGTTTCTCCGTGGCATCCCAACAATTACTCCATTCACACACAGAAGAAGGCAATGGCAAACCACTTCTGGATCATCTGCCAAGAACGTATATGAACAGGTCCCAGTCGGAGAAAAGGATGGAAGGATCCTGTTCATATGGACCTGTCGTCAGACAGAACACTAAATAATAATAAGATCTTTCGGCCCATAGAAGCTAAACTAATGCACGTAAAAAATGGCACTCCTTTCCTCTGATCTAAAGGAGAGAAGTTACGCAGTTTGGAAAAATGTGGCACAGAAATAGAATGACGCATTATTCTGAACTTCCTTAACTACCTTCCTGGAATTTATATAAAGGTCATTAACTGTGGAAAAGCATAATTTACGGCCGTATGAATCATTCACTCGTATCACTTTCCGTTTCAGATCACCGATCTAAGCAGTGGCCCCGTTAATCACTTGTTTCAAACAATACCCTCACAAGTCATGACCTTCATCCGGTAACTTCTGTACTCAAGACTGAGCTGGAGATACAGTTGAGTATATGCCCTTGTTAAGAAAGGAAAAGACACTTTTCTTTTTAATCCATTATACTTCAGTTAACCCATTGAAGCCGAAACTCGTCTGAATAACATTTAATAATTCAATCCGTGCCTCAGAAAAGACGGCACATCTCTGTTACAAAGATTAACTTCTTAATAAATTCTAAGGAAATAGTTTCTGTTCACTCTGAGGATCATATGAAACCCATTAATATACATTTCACAGTTAATGACTTTTAAAGCAAATATATATGGTTACCATTGGACTCCAGTACTGAATGAACTAATTTCAAACCCCGTATGTTCAAATATTACATTTCAAGGCCTATGTGGGCACATTACTAAATCATTCATGTTAAACTTGGATATCTCAGCTCACATACTATCGTGTCTGATACCCACACTGTGTTCTCGCCCGCATCGCCATCATTGCAGGGTTGTTTTTAATTGTGTCAGTATTTAAAAATTGCTTAATTTTCTGCAGAAGGATGTACTACTTTCCACTAAATATCTAGCCAAAATAACTAACGATGATTGTTGTAACAGACTGCACATTTATGAATTTCTGGTACCGCAGATAATATCAGTATTACCAAAACACATATAGTTAGGCGCGACTGTGAAATTTGTTGTAAACTTGTGAACTGGATTTATGCAACACAGGAGAGAGCCCAGTTGCCGACTCTTGAGAACACGACAGGCTGGGAATTTTTTAACCGCCTCGAGACTATCATATTTTCAAGGACTGTGCTCCTTAGATTTAGATTTCAACTGCAAATCGTATATTGCTTGTGACGAGATAGAAAACAGTTTGAGAAGTGCTGTATCTGCAGCAAGTTACTTCTCCCGAGTATTATTATGTCTGAACAAACTGTTTATTAACTGCGTTATCAGCTCACTATGACCCCAGACTTTCTGTATGCCCTTTCTATCGGTCCAAGGATAGGCTAATCCTTCGCCATAATATAAGTATGGAATTCTGATAGAAAGATTTAAAACTTTAACAAAAGAAACGAATCGACCGGGATCCACTGCATGCAGCTCTCACCAGAGTAGAGTTGCGAACTGGTGCCAAAGTTTCGGATGAACACATCGCCTCCATCTTCAGAGCAATTTCTTAAGAAGGACTCTGCTCTATGGACTTCGTCGTTGTTATTGTTATTATTATTGTTGTTGTTGTTCCATCTATTCACCACTTTATAGGGTATTTACTTCTGTGTACCCGAGACAAAGCTTGGGAACCGCTGATATAGACACAATTTATGTTATGTCACAACTGCAACTTTGGACATCTGTCATCCTGTTCTCTCGGTAAACGCCGTTCAGATGTGTAAAAATACTACAAAGTAACGGTAAACGTCCGTGGTTACTGTTACGACCGACAATCACATATTCCTACACGAAGTGAGAGATATAGCAATATTGACAGCACCGAATGAATTAATGCATCTTAGGCGATTATTCCGAGGCCACTTCTCATTGAAAGCTCTTAAACTGATAAAGTGATACTGATTTCTTAACCCGTAATAAATGTGGCTTTTTTCAGACGTACTGTAAAAATGGTCAGAACCATGCTGCTCTGTCTAACCGTCGTAGTGTTGGCAACACTGAGCGAAGTTTCTGGACACTCGTATCACCTGGGCAACTGCCCCAATGTTGACTCACAGGAGAACTTCGATATGAACAGGGTAAGTAATTGTTAAATTGCAGAACATCGTCATTCGGAATTGTTTCTGTAATATTTCCTCTAAGATTCAGCGAATGTCTGAGCAAGAGAGCTATTTGGGTTAAAACCTCTGGGTGACGGCCTTCCGCAATATGCAAGTGTGGTTGCAGATTACAGTTCCACAACACGAATCATCTCACAAAAGTTTTACAGGAAACGGCTTATTTTTCCTCCCTGTTACATGAAACATCCAGCCATAAAAGTGAGGAAAAGATTCCATTACATAACAATCTAAGGAAGTTTCACGTGACATTAAGGATATTTCGTAAATGCTTTTCCTAACCGCTTCCTATTCCGTACAGGGTATAGGATGAATCCAAACCTTTAGTTAGAGGATAGATGACCAAACTATCTACTTTATACACGATGAAGGGAAGTCAGAGAAATTTCATAATTTGTGGCCTTCACCAAATTTTATTAGGATAATTAAATCAAACACGATGGGGCATGTAATGCGCATGACAAGAATGAAAAATGTATACACAAAATGTCATTCATAAAACTTTAAGGAAGAGATTCTTAAGAGAAATATGCGTAGATAGGAGAATAATGACAAAACGGGTGCTAAAGCAATGGAATGTGAGAGAGTGGATTAAAAATCCATCTGGCTTTGGACGGGGCTCAGTGGCGGGCTGTAATGAAGATGATAATGAATAGAAGTGTTCCGTAAAAGACGGAGAATTTTGTAATAAGCTGCGCGACTATTAGATTCTCATAAAGAATTGTGATTCATGAGGTTGATTAGGCAAAAACAATTTAAGCAAAAATTCAAATTTATTAATATATTTGTTCAAGGCTTCTGCTTTTGGCAAGCCCTGGAATAACATAGAGCATGCTCATACTTTTCTTTACATTATTTGTGGAATAAAGTGGTTTTTGATGTGAAAGATATCTACAAGACGCCACTGGTCTTTTGCTTCACTATACGAAAGCTGGAATTAAATTCGGTTTAGCCTTAACAGCAGATTCCTGATTCACAACAATAAATCGAGTATTTGATTTGTTGGTATGTTAAAATAATTCCAAATTTTGTCTGATACAGAGGTATTGTCGTGACATGTTTCTCTATCAATTATGACAATTTAGAGACCTAGATCTAGACCGGAGACTAATTTTAAAAGTTAACTAATGACATCACCAAAAATGTTTAACTTCTCTTTATGGAAACGATGTTGTCTGCTACAGTTCCTGGGAAAGTGGTATGTGATCCAGAAGACTTCCACGGGGAGCAAATGCCTCACCAACAACTACACCAAGACAAACGAGACAGGAAAGTACTTGATACAGCAAGTAAGTGAGCACCTGATCCTTGGGCTCACAAGTCTCAACCACGAGTACACGTACGAGGGCGTCATCACGGTGTCCGATTCGTCCGATCCCGCCAGGATGACTGTGAGATTCCCTCTCAGTGAGTAGCTTTCCCCAATAATGAAACTATTTTAATTGCTCTTAATCTAGCAAATAAGACAGACGAGGCACAAGTCCGAAGTAACTTACTAAAAGGCTAAAAACTTTATGTTGATATTTTCAGGTCTGGCAGGTAGCGCATCCTATATCGTATTTATGACAGACTATGACAACTTTGCTGGAGTGTTCACTTGCCAGAAGTTGGCTTTTGCCCATCGTCAGTCAGCCTCCATTCTTTCGCGGTCCCCCAACCTGGACAAGATATACGTGGACAAGGTGAGATAACCAACCAATCAAATATTATGATTATCATTGTTGTTGTTGTGTTTCTTATGTTTCATCTACAATTTCAGATCCGAAATCGCCTTCGAGGGTACGGAGTCGACCCATACGACCTGAGCATCATTGAACACACCTGCAGCCCACCAAACGAAGACACGCTGGACATCAATATCAACCCCACGACGTTTACCGCGGGCAGCATCGCTGGCGTCGTGAGGAAAGCAGGCGAGAAGCTTGGGGATGGCATTGAGGTCGTTGCCGACGGTGCCTCCAGCATCTACAATCGCTTCCATGGTAGTGGTAGCAGCGCAAGTGTGAGGAGAGACCGAGAGGAAGTCAGCAACGACCGTCACAGTCCCAGCAACGACGTAGAGTGGTTGCCCTGAGCGACCCTGTTTGTCGGTGTATAAGACGCGCCATTGTTCAAAAAGCAAATACAAGCTTTCCCTTCCCATCCGCGGAAGTTCCGCAGAAACCGCGCGACCGACAAAATCGATGTTCGAAAGACAAAGTCTGTATGAGAAAGAGAGTGTCACGCGAAAAGCGGACGCTATTACCACTCACCGACGCCTAAGTTGTCTGTTCCTTGACTAGACACAAGAAATATGTAATAACATATGAAACAATAATAACCCTACATGTTCACATTCCATAATAATTAAAACAAGTCATCGGCTGTATACAAGACATTAAATTACTGGGGTTTGAATAAAGTACATAATCAAAACAACATTAACGGTGATGGTAATGGTTATCTTCCTGCCTGCCTCATAGATTTTTTCCATTCGCATAAAAATTAAAAACTGCAGACGCACAAAATCAAATACAGCAGTTCGAAAAACTGGATGCAAACGGATAACAGCGGTTGGCAAGAGACAGCTGTACTCAATGTGTTAATCATACTCCTTAGGTGTAAAAGAAGAAGGGAGGTTTAGAAGGACAAAGTGCATCTTATACGAACACGAGCACGGTTTTTGTTTGAAACTAAAGACATTTGAAACAATACATGATACTCTGTGTTATAACACACTTCCTGATGTCGTTCAATTGAAAGTTTATAAATACCAATTTATTTCTAGAGTTTAGTTTCATATTTTTTTATCAGATGTATAGGGCGAAAACCAGGAATTGTAAGTTCTGATAAGATAGGTAGAAGATGTGTTATATTTTTAAATTAACTGAGCTTGAAACCGCCAGCACTGGGTCAGAACATGAATACACGTGGACAATGTTTGTATTTTAATTAATAAAACATTTACGATCAATAAGAAAAGAAATGTGTTCTTATTCCTTCAGTTGAAACTTCTACGGTGCTGAAATTCAAGAAGGGATGATTCACAGCGACCCGGTAAACCGAGTAAAATAGCGAATAGCACGTAGATAAATGTAATTAAACTTTATGTTGAGAATCAGAAAAGCAAGAAAATGTGGCCTGTTTGTTATGATAATAATTTCCTTACTTTTTATGTATCTTATCAGCAAAGTTAATATGAATCACCTACACCAAATAATATACACGTTGCTACCAGACCTGTTTTACATTTAATTCAAGGTCACGCGCAATTTTGTGTCTTCCTCAAAAACATATTTGCGTTACTCGTTTCTTTACAGATATAAGCCAAAAGTAGTTCTGCATGTCTCAGCAATGGCAACGTGTTCTTGGAGCTGAAGCAGCCGGAGCGTAAACCTGGCGATTCACTTCCACCCTCATCTGCAGTCCCCTATAAGTCTTCATGTTGCGTTTACTCACGGAGACAAAGCTATATTTATATTCACTTGGAGGGAAATAAGTTATTTATACGATATCATAAAGTCATTACAATAAATAATAATATAGATCTTTAATGTCAAATGCTTTTCAGGATTTATGAGCACATGAAAAAGACATTCTCAATACTGACCATTCTCTCAATTAATCAACTAACAAACCAATTCTGAAAAGTGCTTGTCATTAATGACCTTGATTATTATTTCCAGTGGGTTCTTCACTATTTTGTGCTACCTCCCTTTAAGTAAGAGCAAACAGCCTACAGAGTTGTTCCGTGCCTAAGCGCCAAACCATGAAGGCGTCTAGGGGGATGCAGGTCAAAGCTCCATGCTTTCTTAATCGGGGCAAATAACCACTCAGTCTTTAATAATTACGCTACACGTGCGTTGACTTAACGTTTAGTTGAACTTTCTCCTACCACGTGTTTTATGTTCTTTCCATTAATCATTCCGGCGTCGAGAGGCGTCGTAGCTGAAACGGAAGCTGCATAACTGAAACGTGTAACGTCAGAGAAATATCTGCTGCTAAGTTCTTGGCGGGCCACTTAATGATTTATCCGCCTGCCGCTTAACAAGTGTAACAACTTGTGTTATAGATGTTAAAGACGAGAACAAACAAGTCGTTGATGTGTTTAATTTATTTAAGAAGTTATTGGCACTTCGATATTAATTGTTAATTTATTTATACAAATTTTCAGTCTCTTTTCTTTTTTGTAACATCAGCTATTCCACGGACAACTTGAATAAAGCTGGCGTACCATATTGAGGAAATCAAAGATTTGTAACAAAGAATGTTTGCAGGATCATTCGTATGCTGCTGTAAAGAATATTAAATCCGATAGGCTGTTCTGGATGTAACTCTATCGAATGGGGCTCTGTGAATACCCGTTATTATGAGTATTATCTCCACGTGTGCCATGAGATAAAAGATCACATAAATCAAATGTCCGTATTGCAAAAATTGTGAGAAGTGATTACGCTGAAATCCGACTGGTTGCTTAGTAACCCACTGGAGGTAACTGACAGTTTGTTACCTTCATCGAGGTTGCTTCGTTTCAAAAGCTGCAGTGTGAAAATACAAAGCGCTTTACTGTGAAAGGAAAATAACTATGACTAAATGATACCAGAACATTCTTAATTAGAATGAAGTGGTCTCGTTTTGCTGACTGTCCACAATTGACGTACATACGACGAATATAAATCTCGTTACTCGGAACGGTATTAAAACCAGTTGTATGAAATAAAACACTGACGTTCAATGTTTAAAACATGAAACTGAACATTTATGTACCATATTTAATACGTAATAAGAAAGAGCATTTGTATAAATGAACTGGTAAATAGTTAAGTTTATATGTGAATGTTTCTTACCATAATTCTACAGGTATTCTGTTCCTTATTTTATCATTGGTGTTATTGATAGCAATTGCAAAGGCGCTGTTAGATAATCCCGAGGTTAAGCCGAAAATACGCAAGGCCTACTGATGTCCTCCGGTTCTGCATACAAACCCCCACTGCCTTCCGTCATGCTAATATAATTAATATTTCAGGCAGGTTGTTCTTTAATGAAGAAGCCTTCTCTTCCTTCCTTGTCCCTGCAAGAGAATCTCATTGTTTAACGAACTCGTTATCACTATTATGCAGGGAGTGAGGGTGGAGGGGTAGCCTGACGACACCTGACGCAAAGTTTGCAAGGCGCACGGCGGGTGCCAGCTAATCGATTAATCGATAGAATGAGGAGAGACAACCCACCACAGAGTCAGTCCTCAGGATCTGCCATCTTCAGTCAGACTGCAGGTCGTGTCCACAATTCGGGAAAGTGTTAGGCAGAGGAAGTTACTACAAGTCCATACCATCACCTTCCTTACCACCAGCGGAGATGAAGGTATGGTGACTCTACTGTGTGTTTCAGAGAGCATGTCACTATTTATAAAGAGCAGTTTATTTTATAACGACAGCAGACTTTGCATTGTTATACTGAGTTTTCATATTTGAGTACACACACTACTATTTAGGTGCCACTATGTCTTTAAGAAGGCGTGCCAATATTTGCGTTACTTATTAACACAATTCGTTTCTTCAATTTTTATTAGGAAGTTGTGTTTTCTTCAAGAAACAGTTGTACAATTTTACCCCGAAGCTAAATAAAATGTACTGAATATTTCATAACTGTCACTAATGAAGCCTATGTGCAGTATTTTGTAGAAAAGACTTGAGTAATTTATTGTAGATTATACCTGAATGTTGGTTACTTTACAGGAACTCTATCATGTCCTCAACAACTTAAATTCAGTAATGTTTATCGAAAAGTCTCCAGGTTTGTAGCCTATTATCTAAGACAAATTTTTCGTGTACCTTTATTATATAATTCTTAAAACTGTGGAAATATATGACTAACAAGTTGGCTCTAAGTCCAATAACGCAACATTCTGTAATCATAATGAATCGTTTAAATTTTCAGGAGTTCGGAAACGGGATTATCTGATCTGAATTACAGTGTCAAAGTTGTAAAACATGCTTAGGATATTTACGATATGAAAAATCTACACTTTCTTACAGTTCTGATATAACTGATCTAAGCAGGATACAGTCAGTGAACAATTTAGGATATTATTTAATGAGAAACTCCCGCTTACCAGTATCATTAAGACAGAGACATATACGATGTTACGATGGATTGGGCATGTGTCTAGGATGCGGAGGCAGGGAATGCATTCGGAATTTTGGTGAGTAAACATTTTGGCAAATGACCAATTTGGAAATCGATGAGATCAGAGGATACCATTAATATGCATCTTAGTGATATTGATAATGAGGTGCACAGAACTAGCTCAGAATGGTACCCATAGGTGCTACTTGGTGGTACTGAGATAAAGAATACGCAGGTGCCAGGGTAATGGGGTATACGTCCAAAAAGTGCAGAAATAAAAAAAAATCGTGAAGTTCTCTCAAATTAGTTTTATTGATTTTTCAAAAATAAGAATGTACAATTTGCATCTGAGCTCAAGGCTGAAGTGACATTTTCGCTAAATTACAGATGATATGAAATATAGGTTGTCGAGTAGCACTAAAATTTCTGTTATTATTTTTGGACTTATATACCTTTTCCCTGGCAAGACGAATTAGGAGATAAAGCTGGCTTTATCTGCATAGAAAGTAATTACTTCCTCGTTCACTACATTATTACATTCACCTTCAGTAAATTGTCCTTCATAATTTGTCCTCTGTTCTCCATCAGTTGTCCGCTCTCTAAATGCTACTGACTGCTAATTCATTTGTTTAACCTTGCGCTTTTTATATAGAAGAACAGCAGGAAAGGGAGCTAGTAAAAATTAACTTGGTTTATTAGTATTGTAGATTATGCCTATATATGCAAAGCTAGGCTTACTGTATCACGTGTGTCTGACCCTTTTGGAATAATTTTACCTAACATTTTCCTTAATTT